TTCCCGGACTTTAGAGAAGGTTTGGAGAACAGCCAGGGCATAGGACCAGGTAGGAACCGAGGATATCGGGAACACTGGAAACTAGCAGCCAGGGTTGTAACTCCGGAAGGGATTGATTGGGCAATAAGCACTTTCAAACCATTTAAGGCTTCAGGGGGGGACGGTATATATCCGGTTCTTTTGCAAAAGGGATTGGATTGTATTAGAGTACCCCTGTGTAAAATTATGAGAGCATGTATAGCTCTTGGTTATACACCGGAGTCTTGGAAAAAGACGAGGGTTGTGTTTATTCCGAAGGCCGGTCGGTCAGGCTATACTGCGGCGAAGGACTTCAGGCCAATCAGCCTAACTTCCTTTATATTAAAGACGTTAGAGAAACTGGTGGATAAGTTTATTAGACAGGAATGTCTTAGAGATTTTCCCCTACATCAGGGACAGCATGCATATAGAGCAGGCTTCTCAGTAGAAACAGCCCTCCATTCGGCAGTAGGTAGAATAGAGGGACAAATTAGCAGTGGTGGTTATGCGGTTGGTACCTTTCTTGATATCGAAGGTGCCTTCCCTAACACCTCTAGCAAAACTATCTGCAGGGCAGCCAGAATGCGAGGTGTGCCCGAGCCGCTAGTTAAGTGGATCGACAGCATGCTTCGCGAAAGGGCCCTGGAGGCAGAGTATGGTGAGGCCAAGGTAACCGGCCTTGTCTCAAAAGGGTGCCCACAGGGAGGAGTTCTCTCTCCTTTATTGTGGTGCTTAGTGGCAGATGAGTTAATTAGAAACCTCAATAGCCAGGGATATTATACGCAAAGTTATGCGGATGATTTCCTTATAATTATAAGAGGGCACTCAATTGAGACCCTCTTAGAACTTACGGAACGTGCGCTTAAGATTGTCAAGGATTGGTGCAATCTGACTGGACTTTCTGTAAACCCAGAGAAAACGAATATAGTAGTTTTCACAAGAAAATATAAGGTACCGAGTTTGAAGAAACCGATATTTTATGGAAAAGAGATTTCCTTTTCAGAATCGGCTAAGTATCTGGGAGTAATCCTGGATAAAAAGCTGGTTTGGAGGGAACATTTCGAATATCAGTATAGCAGGTTTTGTACCGCGTTTTGGGCGTGTAGAAGGGCGATAGGGTCATCATGGGGACTAAGGCCTAATATGGTCAACTGGCTCTATCAGATGATCTTAAAACCAAGGTTTCTTCACGCGGTGGTTGTCTGGTGGTCCAGGACTCAACTGATAACGGTTAAAGAGAAACTGGGCCAACTGCAAGCAATGATTTTCAGGGGTATTACGGGGGCAATGAGGACCACGCCAACAGCTGCGTTGGGATTCATGCTTGCCGAGGCACCTCTGCATATTGCCGCGGTGAAAAAGGCGGCTCTTACTATGAGCAGGTTAACTGCGCAGGGAAGGTGGAAGGTTGGTGGTATACACACCAAGCTTCCACGCTCAATTCTATCAATACCAGAATTAAGTATGGTGCAAGATAGAATGATCAAGAGGGTGAAATTTAAACCCCGCTTTAAGATCATTACACCTTCCAGAATGGACTGGAAGAAAGGTTTTCCACTTGGGGACGAAGTCTGGTATACAGACGGCTCCAAGATGGACTGCGGTGCAGGCTTCGGAATTTATCGGAAAACTGGCTGCATTAAAGTGGCTGAGTCATTAGGACAACATGCCACGGTCTGGCAGGCAGAGGTCTGTGCGATTTTAACTTGCGCCCAAATATCCATTCGAAATGGAACAAAGGGCAAGAGGATTAGTATTTGTGTGGACAGTCAAGCGGCCTTAGGGGCTCTGAAAAATCCCACAATAGAATCAAAACTCGTCTGGGAATGCCGCAGCGTACTAGATGAGTTGGGTTCAACAAATAAACTTTCATTGATTTGGGTACCGGGTCACTCGGGAATCAAGGGTAATGAAAGAGTAGACGTCTTGGCGAAAACCGGTTCCGAGACGAAATTTATAGGTCCTGAACCAGCAGTGGCAATAATGCCATGCTTGGTTAAGGGAGCCATAGAAAGATGGGGTGAAAAGGAACATGAGAAGTATTGGGCTAACGTTGGGGTGGGAAGGCAAGCGAAAACTCTGTTGGGGTTAGCACTCAACAAGAGGCGAGCGAGCGATCTCCTAAAACTCGATAAGATCAGAGTTAGAACCGTAGTTCGTCTACTTACGGGTCATGGACTATTGAACTACCATCAGCATAAAATAGGCAGACAAGTTTCACCTATGTGCAGACTGTGTGGGGAAAGTAACGAAACTTCGACTCACATATTATCTGAATGCCCAGCGTTAGCTAGGATCAGGCTATCTAGCTGGGGTCAAGCAATTATTGACCCTAAGCAAGTGAGCAACCTATCGATAGAAGAGATACTGGACTTCTGGAGAAGAACAGGACTCTAAGGGGTTGCTATAAACGAGCGAGCTGGAGTCTGGTACAATGGGTTCTATAACCTAGGTGCTTACTTTCCCCTCTTGAGGAAAATCCAGCTCGATCTCGGTATTAGATTAGATTAGATTAGAAAAACCTCTTAACACCAAGATTCTCAAAAATATATCAAATTTTACAATCTTAATCCGCCATATTGGATCCGCTATGTTGAATTTGGAAAATCTAACATCAGATTCATAATCAGCGACCTCAAAAACCCCTACATACCAATTTTCATAGAAATTCTTCAAATTTTAAATTTTTCGTTCCGCCATATTGCATCCGCCATTTTGAATTTTAAAAATCTAACATCAAATTCGTAATCAGCGACCCGGGAAACCACCCGATACCAAGTTTCATGAAGAACCATCAAATTTTAAAATTTCGTCCGCCATATTAGACCGCCATTTTGAATCCTGACGTGATGGGGTGAAATGGACCGCGGATTCAGTTTCAGCGACCCCAAAAACGTATCGTGCACATAGTGTGATCTCCGGGCCAGAAAAAAGAATTTTTTTTGTGTGGCTATTTAATGTCTTTGGACTTTATTATACAAAGAGCAAACGTAATCCTAATAATTAGATTTCAGTCAATAAAGTTGTCATAAACTGATATCTATTTTTATAAAATTCGATTAAAAATAAACATGTAAATAAATTTAAATAAATAAAAAAATTTTTAAATACATTTTAAATAATTACAAAAAAATATTGTAAAGAGAAAAAATATAAATACATAGATTAAAAAAAATTTTTCTTCAAAGTAAGAAAAATTATAAAGTTATGTCCAAAAAAAGAAGATGTAATTAAATCAAGATGAAACCAATTAAAAAATAGGAAGTTGGCGCGTATAAAAGTTTATCTAAATAATGCACACAGTGGTCTTCAAGCGTATTTATGTTCACCTAAAATGAGAGAAAATTCTGCTGATGCAGTGCAACAATTGACACAGGGCGCAGAAATAGACTCTTTTGGTATCCTTTTAAATAAAATTTAAATTTGTTAAAGGGTTACATCACTGTAGAAATTAATTTCATTGAAATTTCAATCTTCTTTACCGCAACAGAACTTTACTTTACAGAAAACATGCATTTCCTTTAAAAAAAATTATTGAAAAATCTCTCGTTATCCCATAAACGCGTTTTACTGGAGACACAGTCTTTTAAATCGGCATGCAGTATAACAATTTTCAATCGAATTTCTCACAACATCTTTAAAATTGAATTTCAAAGAGAAATAAGTAGGGGTTTTTCCATAAGTTTCTTTAAACAATAATTATAAGAAATTATGCATCTTTTTTTGGGCGAAAAATGAGTTTTTTCTTCAAATGCTTACCAATAGCACAAAAATCAATCTTTTAAAACCCTCTACGTATTTTTCTACTTATTCTCATGTAGATTAAGAAACAAATTTTTATTTCGTCCTACACAGAGAGAAAAATCAAGCTTTTGCAGTATTTTGTATACCAAAGATACCGTCTCCAGTTATATTTATTTCACAAAATATGAGCATAAAATTTTTAAACGTATGTGACATCAGTCCATACAAAATTAGTATAGGAGGGCTTTATACTACAAACGTTTGATTGTTCTCATCTTGTAGATTGAAATTTACATTACTTATACTGCGTGCCGCGGAGATCATGAAAAAAATATGCATTACAAAAATTGCTCCAGTGCCGCCATTTTGAAATATTTATTAATAAAAATTTGTAATTTTCTAATTTAATATACAGTTAATAACTTTCAACAATATTATGAATGTATGTCTTTTCCTTCCATTAATAAAAAATTCTTGAAAAAACGTTATTTTTTAGACATTTACAGTGGTGTGATCCCTTAAAATGCTTTATCCTTATAGGCTATCAATTTCTGTAATAATTCCTTAATAATACAGACTGATACTTTAATAAATTTTATACAACTTAGGCGTTTTATGGTCACTGTATCTACCTGTACAGGCGCGTACTAAGTTCCCCCTTATAACCCAGCAGTCAATAAAGTAACCATTATAGCCCTAGGGAGATAAAGGGTATATTATTGACCGCTCACAGGTCAATAAAGTACCCTTTATCTCCCTAGGGCAATACTGGTTACTTTATTGACCAGCTGGGTTATATGGGAGAACTTAGCATGCACCGGTACAGGTTGCATAGAGTAACCATAATACGCCTTTGTTGTATAAAGCAAAGTATGGAACAAGGGAGGTAACCTCGTTTATGACCTCGCACAGTATTCAAAAACTCGTCTTCGCACTCGCTTCGCTCGTGCTACGACTCGTTTTTCAATATTGTGCTCGGTACATAAACTCGGACGTACCTCCCTTGTTGCATAATGTACTATTAATCCCTTATATTTAAAACAAAATCAGCTACAACTTGCAGCAAACTCCTTTAATTACTAAAAAACAGTTTTTAAACATGAGGTTTTTGCCGAAAACGTGATTTTGTAAATTGCTTCTTATTTTGATAAGATAAACTATTACGGGTTCAGATTTCAAGGAAAATTAGAGGGGGACAATCGAAGTATTCTTCTTATATACAATAATTAAGCTATAAATTGATTTTAATAAAAAAGTAACATGAACTTTTATTCGTTTAATAGCCGCCGCTAGCTCGAATTGGTGACACTTTCTGGACTACTGACACATCGATATAATGTCCGCTGAAGTTTTTGTGTTTGCAACGTGCATAGATGGTGCACTGGTTGCTCAAAAGTGAAATTTTCTGTAATTTTTATATTTAAAGCTTTGTAAATATTTAATGTTTAAACTAAGCTTTTTGCTATTTCTACCATAATCTTCTCCGCATTTTTTCTATTAGTTACATTGATAAGTTATTCACAATTAATTATAAATATACTAAAAATAACATTTGTGAGGGACCGGTACACCATCTATAAAGGTTTTAAATATTTTCCAAAATTTTTGTGCGCTGATTTCTATAAAAAAATTTCATTTCAAGACAGACAACACAATTTTTTCGATACAGTGTAATGTACATTTACTTTTAGGATTAAATTATGTTTATATTAATAGTACATATTTTTTATGAAAATAAAAATTGTAAATTTGTGTACAATGAGAGAATCTATGCTTTTGCTGCATGCAAGCAGCCTCTTGTCATAACCTTTTATGGCAATTTTTATTTACGCTACATTACTTTGTAACCAATTATAAATAGACTCGTGATTCTGTTCCAACCATCTTATGTTGGCTTCCGCTTGTTCCACTGCCTGTTGTACAGCTCTTGTTGCACTTACAAGTTGTTCCCCATGTTCCTTTGCAAAATCTAACAGCTGTATAAAATAAAAGATATACATAATTATAAAGTAACCTTATTTTTTGTTATAAAAGACAATTACTTACATCCTTTAATTCGTATTTAGTGTTTATCCTTTTTGTAGAAGCTTTTACAATGGTACTGATGGTCATAATAGATGTTCCAATGCTAAACAAACAAATTAATTATTAAAATTGCGTCATGACATTTTAAAAATTTATTTTAAAATTGTATCGAATCTCAGTTGACACAATCTAGATTAAAGTTATAAAAACATCATGTTTCAAAACCGTTTCTAAGTGATCTTTTAACTCTACCTTCAATAAGAAATATCTTCTGGGTTTTTTGAAAACATAGTATACAAAAAATGCAATGAAAATTTGTTTTTAGAAAACTATATATTTACTGCTGTTTTTCAATCTGATGATATTAGAAAAAGTTCGGTAATCGTAAGTGAAGATATAAAATACGATTCTTCTCTGGCACTTTTAGCAATGCATTTAATTAACTAAACATTAGATAAAATTGAACAATATCCATGCTATCAACATCTTGCTTCAAAGAGTCCTTGTTAGTAGGTCGGACTAAGAAGCCCATGCATGGTTTCGTTGATTGAGCCATAGCAATTGAGGCCCGACTCTCTATGACCCAATCCATGATAACAAGTAGAAAAAGTGCAGCACCACACGAATCAGTCTTAAAATGTCTGGTTCTGAGGTTCATTGTATGCAGATTAACTTGCATCACTGAAAAGGCGTTTCGCCGATATTAGCCAGGAACTTAAGAAAGATGCAGACAACTATAGCCTTTATTCAAGAACCTTGGGTTCACAAGGATAAGTCTACATGACTAAATAGCTGTGGGGAGCTAGTTAGTTTACCACTTTAATTGGTTCCAAAGGCTTGCCTGATCTATAAAGGTCTAGACGCTTTCCCGTTACTGCAATCAAGTACTTGGAACTTAGCTGTATGGTTAAATATAAGTACTTGGAAAAGAATGGAAATAAGAGGGAAATTGTAGATATTGTGAAAATAGGCGTCCGCCTATGTTCCGGAAGCGGGGAGGTGAACCCGCACTGTTAACAGAATGGAAGTGTTGAACATTAGGATCTTTTCTAAATCTGTATGGGATGGTGTAAGAAACTGGAGGATTTTTTTTTTTTGAACCACAGACTTATTACATTCAAAATGGAATCGAAATCTGTATGTAATGTTCTGTACTGCTTTTTGGGCGTGTAAAATAGCGTTAACCCTTGTGTTCATACCCGGGTACCCACGACTACACATTTTTTCATTTTACTCACGTAAATATTAAAATTTCGTCTCGGCGCTTCAGATCTACGTTATTTATGATAAATAAAAGCAATTTCTTAAAAAAAATTTCTTTTTATAAATAAATAAAAAATTAGTTTAAACTATAGGTATACAGTGTCAGCACTCTGGGTGGCTGAGACAAATTGTTTAAAAATTCATTAGATTCACTTGAAATTTGTTACTCGGGGGTTTTCGGGGTCGCTGATTACGAATATAAAGTCAGATTTTGAAAATTCAAAAGGCGGATCTAATATGGCGGACGACATTTTTAAAATGTCATTAGATTTACTTGAAATTTGTTACTCGGGGGTTTTTGGGGTCGCTGATTACGAATATGATGTCAGTTTTTGAAAATTAAAAATGTCGGATCCAATATGGCGTTTACTAATATGACATTTTGAATTTTTAAAAACTTACATCATATTCGTAATCAGTGACCCCAAAAACCCCCGAATAGCAAATTTCAAGTTAATCTAATGACATTTTAAAAATGGCGTCCGCCATATTGGATCCACCATTTTGAATTTTCAAAATCTGACTTTATATTCGTAACCAGCGACCCCGAAAACCCCCGAGTAACAAATTTCAAGTGAATCTAATGAATTTTTAAACAATTTGTCTCAGCCACCCAGAGTGCTGACACTGTATACCTATAGTTTAAACTAATTTTTTATTTATTTATAAAAAGAAATTTTTATTGAAGAAATTGCTTATATTTAACATAAATATTGAAGATCTGGAGCGTTGAGACAAAATACCCCTGGTTTTGCTAGTTAGATTATTTTTTATAAATGTTTTGCTATAGTGGGTACCCGGGTACCTCGGGTGTGAGACAACGTAGAATTTATTGGGTATGGACACAAGGGTTAAGCTCATCGTGGAAACTGGGACCTTACATGGTCAATCAGCTTTATTAGATGATTTTAAAACCCAGACTTCTAAACGCAATGGTTATCAGGTGGTCTTGGCCTCAACTCATAAGTATAAAAGAGAAACTAGACCAACTCCAAGCAATAGTTTTCAGAGATATTACAGGGACTAAAAGGACCACGACAACAGTTGCGTTGAGCTTCATACTGTTGGAAAAACCTCTGCATATTGCTGCGATGAAAAAGGCGGCTCTCACTTTGAGCAGGTTAACTAGACACACTCCCCTATTATTAATATATTCAAAAATATTTTTGATTTACTTACTATTCACGAATGCGAGTCCATTTATTCCTAAAGTAATTGAAAACAAGTGGTTGTCCAACTATGTTATTAGCAACTGAAGCAAATACTCGAGTGACATCTTGCTTCCTTATTCCTGAATTCTCAGTCAATGCCCAATCAAGATATCTGCTTAATAACCAAGTTTCCCCTGAACATCCAAGTGCAACAAGAAGAATATCCCTTTCTGTTCCTACATTAGTAGTTAAATAACGTTGCCAAGCAAAATCCCACTCTGCTTGACCACCAACGCGAATAGCTGTGCAATATACAACACTCTTCAAATTTGGTGCAATCCTATAAAAATAATAGATATATGATTATAAAATATTCATTTAAGGGTTAATCCATTATATTTTATCCTAAGTCATTCTGGGCTATTTTTAAAAAATCTTATACTTTGTAATGATTTTTAACATCCGATAAATTCATTTTTGACGGATATTTTATCAAATTAAATGTATTGCCTTTAAAAATTTAAGTTTTAAGTTGAGTTGTACGGAGAAAAGGATGGATTGACAACTGTGAAGATTCAATAAAGAAGCATGGACATAATTGAGGTGGTAAAAGTAAAAAGTTATTTTTAATGAATTTTAATAGAAATAACAGGAATTTAAAAATTCAGTTTTTTCTATTAGAGGTTTTAGATTCTCCACTTTGGGTAGAATATTATTAATAAAAATAGTTTTTTACGGATTTTCTTCATCTGGATTTGGCGAATGTCGCCAATTAATAAATTGTTTTACAGCGTTCCGCACGCAATCTTCATGTCCAAAAGTACAAGCCCAGTTGAGAACATCTAAACGAGTGAAAACCGTTAATTGTGAATCTTCATAAGAATCCTTAAAACCAATTTTGTTATAAATGTTATCCAACAGTTTTGAAGCATATACCTAAAGGAAAAACAGCATAAGAATAATTAATAAATAATATATTCGAAAGAGTATGTTGAGCAAATAATAATTATAACATAGAGACGTGAAAATTAATAGTTTAATTATTAAGAAGATAATAACTTTGCAAATGTATTGAAACTTATAACGTACCCTAAATTTATCGTAGCCTTGGTATTTAATAAGCATACTGTTTAAGTAGCTCATTGCAGTTAAAGCCGATTTCCAAGGAAGATATTCTGTTTCACGTACTAAATAATTTGTCAAGTCTAAGGCTGTAGAATAGTTTAATTTTCCAGACCTTGCCAAGTTTAAAGAGTCGTCGATTAATTGAGCTCTATTTATTGTAGAGATGTCTTTAAAATTGCCCTCAATTAATTGCTTAGTAAGTTTCTGCCAGTTTTCCTTATCATAATTTACACGATAATATCCTAAAAAATATTCTTAAATAATAAATAATGAAATTTTCATTATTTTTGTGGCAAATAAATTAATTAACTTTTAAAGTACCCCCTAAATACAAATCGTAGTAGCCTTAACAAATTAATTAGTAGTTTTCTACTACTAATTAGTAGTTTTTTAAATTCAATATTAGAATGTATACGTCAATTTATTAAAAATTTTGTATTCATTTGCTCATTTGTGATTTATATAAAAACAATTATTAATCAACTTATTACTCGTACTTAATGTTCGTTTTTAATATATGTTCATGAAATATAAAAAAAATTTCAAACTTCATACCTAATAATATCAATTTATGAATGGAGTGTAAAGGTTCACTTGAGATAAAGAATGGAAAATGTACCTGTTTCTTGAACATTGAATAAAACCCATTCAGTAGATCTAGCATCTAGGTCAGGAATAGTTAACGACTTTTCAGCTCTCATCCAATGTGATGGTTGGGTATTATTGAAATTTAATTTACTTTCGGACGTAAATGTAATTGGAATCCACCATCTTGGCATTGGATCCATTAATATAGGTAATGTACTATTTTGTAATAAGAACCTTTCCTGAAATAAGAAAAGTTCACTTTATTAAATAATTATAAATTTTTCAATCTTATCTAAATTAATAATTACTTTAATATTCATTTATGTATACAGAATTTTATAATTTCCTCAAAAATAATTTCTAAAATTACCTGAATAATATAAGCTCCACCACTTTTATAATCACGGGTAACAGTAACCACTGGAAACCCAGTCTGTAGTGTCCAAGTATCCATTATTTCCTTTACTGTTACATCTGGCTGAAGAACTTTATCTTTATGTGCTTGTTTTGTTAAAGCTGCCCATAGATCATTTTGCTCTGCACTTTTGTAAGCTCTATATATGAATATTGCCAATTAATATTATGAAATAGTATCTATGTTATAATGAATTCTTTCCTACTACTTATTTTCTATTATCCAATCATAAAAGTTAAACGCATAATCTTTAACAAAATCCGTATTCTCAATTAGCAAACTCTTACTGCTAATTTCTTTCCTAAAGGAAGGCAGAAATTCACGTGAGTCTACTCAGAATTAAAAAGTTTAAAGAATATTTTCATATTTAAGTTAAAAAATTAAAAGGGAGCATTGAAGTCATTTGACTTACTATTATAAAACCATTACACAGGCCAACAAAATAACAAAAATTTAGATCGGGGTCAAAAGATAAAAAATCGAGTTTTTAGCCAAGTTTGAATACCTTTGGCGATGAAACGGAAAATCCTAAGAGCTTCTGCTAGGGCACAAATTAAAATTTAATCTCTCAGCTGTAATTTTCAAAACTTTTATCCCCGCACGTCATTATTTGACAAATAAATTTGTTAATAGCTTAATTTATACGTCAAGAAATGACAATCAATGACCTTGATATCAACGTGCAAGAATAATAATTTTACAGATTGTAATCGAGAAATTAAGCTTTAATTTTAGCCCTAGTAGAAGTTTTTGAAATCTAGCAGGTTCCAAAATTTTGACAAAGCATTTTTTGTGATTTAAAAAATGTCTACCAATAATCTTAAGGTCAATGTTCCGGGATAGAAATTTTAGAGATCATAGTCAAGAGAATAAGCTATAACCCTTTCACACCCACACAAAACTGGATTGTTAAAAAAGAAGTAATTTGTGCTCCTTATTTTCCTTGACTTGGAAAGAATGATTTTTTCCGCCTATATAGTTTTATTTATCATTTTAATTTAATATCTTTATTAACAAAACCTTTCATTAAGATAGTTGTAAATTCCTTGTTTAAAAACTTCATTAGTGAGGAAGTGATCCATCATTCGTATTATTGAAGCACCTTTGTCGTAGGATATTTTATCAAAAATTTCGTTAATTTCATCTGGATGTCCCACTTCCACTGAAATAGGATGAGAACTGGTCAAAGCATCTAATCCAAAAACGTTCTGCAACTCATGAACCACAAATTGCTCCAAAACCATCCACTCGGGCTCTACCTGCAATGATAAATGCGTATAAGTTTTTTGTACTCATTATTTCTAAACATTAAATATAAATTAAATTAATTATGTTTGAAAGATGTTATATTTTTTTGGATTGTTCTAATATACACTTAAATCTTGATATAACGAGAAGTGAGGGATCCGAAAATCTCGATATTACGACTGTGAGAGGGGGCCCCACTCTTAAACAATTTATTTGTGTGAATGTAAGTAACTGTAATTAATGTCGTGTGCAAAAAAAACGATGCTTAAATATATTCAAATAGTGGGGATAAACGAGGAGAAATATTTCTCGTTGTAGCGAGAGTTGACAGTTCGTTGTATCAAGCGCTCGTTGTATCAAGATTCAAGTGTAGTATTTTTACTAAATTGAGATATACATATTCTTAACATCTCATTTAAAAACTAAAGAGCTAACCTACACTTTTGTAAAGGGTTTTGAATTAGTAAAAAATTTTAAATTTTGGCAATATTATAAATAAACAATTTTTCAAAGTTTGTTTTCATTGCTGCGAGTAAGACACTCCCAAAATCCACTAAAAAAATAACGCAAACTGGTGACCATCATTAAATGATGGTCAGTAGTTTTTGAGAAATTTTCTCAAAAACTACTGCAACGATTTTGCACAAAATTGGTAGGCTTCTTTAGTATATAAAATCCTAGTCCTTAATAGAAGGATTTTTTTAATCCAAATATCTCTTTTCTGCAGAAAAACTATAGTTTTTTAAAGTGAAAATCGATACGTTGAGTTGATTTTTTTGTAAATCCTTCGATTAAAGATTAGATTGTCTTCTACTTCAACTAAATTTGTTTGAATTTTGTGTTTCTGATGAACTAGCTCCATGTAATCGTGGTCACCGCAAATCATATTTTCTTATGAAAACCTTTACAAAATCGTGCATCACACCTGTATTTTTGAATATTTTTTATAATTTTATATGGGAATTTTTAGTTTGAGTTGTGTTATATTAGAGAATAATTTGTATCATTTAAGAATGTTGGTGGTTTTTCTTTAAAAAATCATTAATCATGAAATATTTATGATCAACTTGCAGAAAACTTTCCTATGTTCAATGAACACCCTGTGGGCATAAAAACGTCTTTGTTCTAAAAACGTTTCCGTGTCCGGATCTAACGTTTTGTTAGATCAAATTTATAAATTAAATAATAATAGTGAGTGAAAAATAATTATAATTATTATTATGAATTATTATTATTATTATTCTTACGGCATTTATTCCGATGTATTCAACGTAACTAGCGAAACCCTCATTTAACCAGAGATCTGACCACCAACTTGGAGTAACCAAATTACCAAACCACTGATGAGCTAATTCATGAGCCACTACAGCAGCAACTCTTTGTTGATTACTACTAGTAGATACACCCTCTTGAAAAAGCATTGCGGTTTCTCTAAATTACCAATTACTTTGTTGATTTCAAAAACTTTTTAACACAAATAGACATAATTAAAAAACCTTATTTACTAAATTAATATTAATAGTTTTCGATTAACTCTGAAATTTTTTGGTTATTTTTGCTTGAGCGATAACTATAGACCGCATATAACATAGAAATTTAAGAGATCAACGAACTCTTGAAACAAATTTAAATTTTCAAACTATTACAGATATATAAAATATACAGAAACATTTTTACCTATAAGTTATTAAACCCCAATTTTCCATAGCACCGGCAGAAAAATCTGGCAATGCTACCATGTCCATTTTTGGAAGAGGAAACTTAATTTGAAAATAATCTTCGTAGTGACTTAAAATTTTTGGTCCTATTTTTAAACTGTAAAGTGATTGATTAATTGCTTCACTTCTTGCCCACACACCAAATTTGTCTTCTTCTGATTTCAGAACTTTAAAATCTGAGACAATGAATGCTACCAAATAAGTTGACATAGGAACTGAAGTTTCATAATGGTCCCATTCATAAGTAGGAAAATCAGATCTAAAAAATAAGGAATTAAAATTAGAATTTCATTACTTATCCTTTATGAAAGTATTTTTTGAAAATAAAAAGGAAAAAAAGAGATATTACTTTTTTCAAGTTTACAGTTACTTAATAGTTATCCAAAAAGTAGAAGTCACACAATTACTTCCAGTAGTATAATCTTATTTAAAATTGTACAATTGTTTTTAAAATGATTTCTTAAAATAAATAATTAAAGCAAATTATTTTCTTAATGTAAAATGTTATAGAAATTTTCATGAAATGAAACTGTTGTTAGTTAAATTATTTTCAGTTATTTTACTGATTTGAATTTGCCCGAATCTTACACTGTAACTGGTTCTCCTTTTAGCGGCATATTCGAAATAGAAGTCATATTCTTTGGTCTTGCAATGCTAATTTGAAACTTTGCTTTGAGGGCTGGTTCATCAAAGCAGGGAAAAGCGCGACGTGCATCGGTTGGTTGGAACTGCGTCGTCGCTATCCATCTATAATGGAAAATTGTTAAACGATTACTTAGAAACCAAACAACATCTAATTAAATAACTAGCGTAAACCTAGGGAAGACGGGAATGTAATGGATTATTTTCCCGATTTGGTTCCAACACCCTTAAGGTATTAAGATCACAAAATGTGAATAGGATAGGTATTATTAAACTTTTTGTTATTTATTATTAAATCCGAATTTAAACTGTGTGAGGTACTGTAACCTGTTCATTTAAACGTTAAGAAACTATTTCATGTTATTTATTTATAGATACTAAATTTAATCATTATTGATAAATTTAAATAATTTTTTACACTTTTTCATTAAATTGTTTGTATGTTTTTTAATCTTTCTTATTTATTAATAAATGGACATGTTACAGTTCTTCGCACATGTAAAATTCATATATATAAAAAAATAAATTTTTTTTTAAAAATCTCATTTCATTTATAACACAGGCACACAAAAAAATAAAAGTGGTCTGTTTATTGAACCAGACCTACATGTCTTATAGTATTTTTGCCCGCTGAAAACGAATATGAAGTCAAAATTGCTCCATCACCCTCTGTTTCTTTTAAATCGAAAAAACTACCCTTAAATGTACAAATTCAAAGTTTAAAGTAATAAAAAATGTAATAACAGATTGTTTTTTAAAACAGAACAATAAATTTATGTACTTCACTTACAACAACTCAAGAACACCCCAATTTTTTGTTTAAATTAAAGAAAACTACCCATAAGAAAATTAAACTCAGACTTGACAGAAAACAATAAAAAAAAAGATTAACTTTTTAAACGGAAGCATACGTTTCTGTATTTTCATTTTAACAGCTCAAAAAAGGATCAGAATTGCTTTTCATTTTTCCAATTGCCCTCCAATTATTTTTATTTACAAAAAAAGTACCCTTAAAAGGATGAACCCAGAGTTTACTAGAAAAAATGAAATATATTAAATTTTTAAACAGAATCATACGTTTCTGTATTTCTATTCTCACAACTAGAAAGCAGAGACATAATTGAATCATCACCCTTAAATTTTTTTTAAATCCAAAAATCTACCCTAATATGGATAATAATCTCAGACTTTAAAGGAAAAAAATTTTAAATGAGTTTTTTAAAACAACCATTAAAAAACTATATATTTCTTTATCTTATTCTCAAACGAGCGGTGTAGTGAATTTCTTTTTCTTTGATCTGTATTTGTTCCCCTCTTTTAAATTAAAGTGAAGTTAAAAAAAATAATTTTTTACTTTTGTATGAAAAATCTGAATGTCACCACTTTAAGGGTAGTTTTTTCAAATTTTAACAAAAACTAATGGTGATGTTTTAATTCTGACGCTGATTTTGTGTTTTTAAGATAAAAATACAGAAATGTATTCTTCCTTTAAAAAACTAATCGTTTTTCTCATTTTTTTCCTGTTAAGGTATGTTTTTTTTTAATTTTAACAAAAACAAGGCGTGATATTTTAATTCTGACCTTGTTTTTAAGTTGTTGAAAAAGAAATATATAAATTTATTGTTCTGCTTAAAAAATCTATTATCTCATTTTTTTTACTTTAAATTTTGTATTTGCACATTTAAGTGTAGTTCTTTCGATTCAAAAAAAAGAGGTTGATATTTTTATTCTGACATTGTTTCTGAGTGGTTGAAAGAGAAGCACATAACTTTATTCTTCTGTTTTAAAAAACAATCTGTTATTACATTTTTTATTACTTTAAACTTTAAATTTGTATATTTAAGGGTAGTTTTTTACATTTAAGAAAAACAGAGAGTATAATGGACAATTCTGACATTGTTTTTGAGTTGTAAGAAAAGTGCATAAATTTATTGTTCTCTATTGCAACATAATCTGTTATTTAATTTTGTTTACTTTAAACTTTGAATTTGTACATTTAAGGATAGTTTTTTCAATTAAAAAAAACACAAGGTAATGGAGCAATTCTGACTTCATATTCGTTTTCAGCGGGCAAAAATACTGTAAGACATGTAAGTCTGGTTCAATAAACAGACCACTTTTATTTTTTTTGTGACCACTGTCCATCAAATCACAACCAAAAATGATCACGTTTCTAAATTAATATGTATTTCTTATAGATTTTCAAATCTTTTTTATAAGTTTATGATAACATTTAATTAAAAGTAAAGTAAAACCTTGTTTGATTGTCTACTTTGTAAGAACTTCTGTAAAATCCTTGAAGAAAATCATTGAGATATCCTTTGAATTTAAAGTACACTATATATTGATTGCCAGGTTTTAAATACTCCAATGTGTGTATTATAAAAAATTGTCGGACAGTGTCGTTCTGTTGTCTATCGATTTTCAATAATTTCGAATTACTTGTTTGAGGATATTCACCGACACTTGTGGCTTTCTCATCAATTTTAAGATCAACTGCATGTAGTGTTATATTTTTTGTCTTTTCTGTAACATTGACTACTATTTTTACCTGAAATAACATAAATAATTATGTATAAATTATAACTCAATTTATTATTTGGCGATATTTTAATCAAATAATTGATTTTGTCAAAATCCTACTTATTTTTGTACAAGATTGTTTATTGTGAATCTAATATTTTTCCATTAAACGCTTTAAGACCCAGCAGTTTCGATCGTAACCACTTTCCGTGAATGTAAGCTCATAGAAATGATTACTCAAAGGTTTTCAAAGTTGCTGATTATGAATTAATCTGATGTTAGTTCTCAAATTATAAAATGGCAGATTCAAGTTGTCGGACAACTATTTTAAAAATTAACTCAATTTGCTTTTTCTGTTAAAATTCTTACAAACCTGAGTTTTTTTGTTATTTCTATTTAAAAACAAAGAGTTTATTTAGTAAAATTATGTGAATAACAACTAGAATAAAATGTTCTATTTTGTTATTACCATTTTTGTTTTCATGACACCTATAAACTTATTATATTTTGTATTTACAAATTTTCAGTGAGGAAGTAAAAAGGAAGCAACAATTTTTAGATGAAATTCATCTCATTTAAAACTAGAGAAAATAATTACCTCGCCATTAAAAGTGAAGTTACCCTCCCAAATGAAGGGAGTTAATCTCAGCTCGTAGAAATCAGGTAGAACAGATCTAGGTAGTCTGACATCTATTTTATTTTTATTTGCTAAGGCTTTTATTGCTTGAAGATTTGAGTTGCCGAAGAAATCTTCATATGATCTGATTTTTTTTCCCTCTAGACAAGGAGTAAAGTGAAAAACTATAAGTCCCGTTGTAACTATGCCTAAGAGAAAAGCTGATCCTAATAAAAAGCCTCCACATCTTGAAACTGTACAACCTCTTTTTCGACCGAACGTCGTATGAGTGTCCATCATTGCGAGGATCTCTCGAGACTGAGTCATATCATGTGTAGACCTGCAAAAAAATAACATTGTTTTATTTATCAGCAAAAATGTGTATGTATAACTATTTACATAGTAACTAAGTTTTTTAGGATTTTGTAACCAAGAGCACAAATCTTTATATGAAGACTCGGGCGTCCATGCGTAGTTCCTAACGGCCCCATAGAGGCCGTTACGTTACGTCATAGCAAACGTTACTATGGTAATTTTTACCATAGCAACTGTTTCCATATCAACCGTTGCTGTGATAATGGTTACTATAGCAACTGTTTCGGAGCGCATGAAAAGGCCCTGTTAGAATTTTTATTTCATAGAATATTATTCTCTAGAATATCATTTCAGCTGAATATATAATTGTTAGAATTTAAAGAAAATAATATTATTTGTTTTAGTCAAACAATTAATTAACTTGATCGTTTGTCTTAGGGGACATACATTTATTTAAAATCATTTTAATTTTCATTTAGTTTTTAAAGTTAAATTAATGAAAATTAAATAAAAATTGCAACTTCAATTCTAATACAAAAAGAATAGATTTACAAATTAGGTAAGGAAAGACATTTTAATGTTATTTAATTCGGAGAGAAGAAAAAAGCAATATAGTTACCTGAAGAGAATCAATTTTATGTCATTTTTATTGAATAGAGAGAGAGATGGAAATGCGTTAGATTTTCAACGTTATATATAGAGACCAATTTATTTTATTTGTCTAAAATAGAGGAAGATAAAAAGACATTTTAACTAAATGTTATTAAAAAGAGATAGAAAGAAAATCGAATGGCCTGATCCTTAATACGGGTATCTGGGCTATAAAATTTTACAAGGGATCTATTGTTCGAAAGGTTCGTTCTATTAGTAATAAAGCAGTGGGTAGTCTATTGTGCCTTAATTTATTTTTATTTTATGCGTTTGTGATTTTATCATTCAAAACAATATTAATTAATGTATGACGCGTCCAGTACGGCAGAAATCAACCTTTACAAAACTATTAGTAATAAAACTTGACAACAGTTTTTTATTGCTGTTGCTATTTTTTGATTTAATATCAATTGTAATGTTATTCTACTTTTTGGTTAATTGATGAATTTTAGTTTGGACCAGTAGTGAAGTTTTTGAGGTTTATTGTCTAGAAAAAACTCTTATGATGAGAATCCAGTTTGGATTTTTAATTTATGTAAATCAAGTTAGTCGAAAACTGTCCCCCGAATAAATGGTACCTTTTACACGAAGATAAGAAGGTGTTAATCTTTATATTTCAATGGAAATTCCTGACGAAAACATTAATCCTGAACTGCACAAAATTTTAATGCAAAATAATATTTATCGCAGCATTGAATATTTCAGGATATCATAAAAACATCCTGTGGATATATCCTGGAGATTATTCTAGAAAGAGTTGGTTTGGATATCAAAGGGACGTCGAAGAATTTTTATAGGATATCCTCAAGGATATTCACTTAAAAAATAGTTTAATTCTCTAGATTTATTGTGAGGATATTCTAAAGAATATGCATTTGTTTAGGAATCCTTTTGTTGTGAGACAATTAAAAAATATTATTTTCTTTCTTTATTTTATTTTTACATTTATATGCAGTCCTTAGATATTTAAAATAACCGAAAAATCAGTAAATTCTTACATGTAACTGAAAAATGTGTAGTATCATTTAAATGTTATTTAATGAGTTGCTTACATATAATTATCCCAGTGAGCAAAGAAACCTCCTTGTACCTAAACCGCTCTTTTAACGTTATTAAAACCTCATTGTCAATGACTATCTTTTTTACTTTTTGAATAAGTAAAATATAACTCACAATCAATTATTGTTAAGTGCTTTAAATGTTGATAGGGCAAAGCTTTCGAAATGAGGAATAGTTTGGATTGCTTTTGAAAAAAATCTAAGGAAGGATAAAGGATAATAGGTTTTATTATTTTATATCTTATACAAAATTATTATTTAGATAATGTCAAGAAAATATCTGGTAATAAAGTTTCGGAAGACGATTGGAACTGGAAAATTGTTTATATATATTGAAAATTTGTATTTACTAAGAAATAGGGGTTTAGACCCCTTCCTGCAGAAGGGGTCGAAAATACATATGGAGCTGAAATTGCAGAGGTCTGGATGACGACTCTTGACCTTACGAAGTGTTAGCACAAGGGGAATTTTTATTTTAAAAAATTCCTGTAGAAATCGTATAAGAAATTAACCTAGTGCTAAAATTTCAAGGCTCAGAGAATGTTCTATTCTCTCTTTTTTCGCTATCTGATGTTAACTTTCTCCAAAAAGTTGACCTGAATTAACCTTGACTCCAGGCGACATTCTGGTGTATTATTTTCACTATTTAAGGTAAACTTGACTAAAGATGTTGAACTGAATTTTTGCATTTCTCACTTGAGTTCATTATAAAAAGTTAGGGAATATTACATATTTCAAGAAGAAAAAACCCCTTTTTTGATTTTTAAATCCGTCAACTGTAACTCGAGAAAATTTATTTTTAATTTATCACTAATAAAAAATTCAATTGTTAATAACTTTTACAAAAAATTTTTTTTCACATACACTCAAATCTCGCTATAACGACCTTCTCTATAACGAGCGCTCTCTATAACGAGGGCTCTGTCTCTCGGTATAGCGAGAAAAATTTCCTTCCTATTACCCCCACTATTTATAAATAAATGCACATTCTGTTGATTTACATTTGGTTAAAATCGATTTTATTTATATCATAATGAGCATAAAAAGTCACTTTTTTTTAAATTATATCAATGAGTCGAACATCTTTAAAATTTTAGCTTATATAAATTTTCTGTATGTTGAAGTTCAAATTAAACTAGGTTACGTTTGTAATTTTGACATTACGTAAATTGTAAACACAAAAAAATGAATGACGAATCTTAAAAGTGGGGATTTTTCATTTCTCCTCTTACACTGTTTTTTAAAAGTTTTTAAACAAAAAAGTTGAGAATTCAATATTTTTTAAAATTTTTGGTTTTAAAATAATAGTTTAGTAATTGCTGATCTCTTACTCTTACATTTATTAACAAAATTTTAGATTTTTAAAAGTTTAATATCTCCAGCTAAAAAGGACTAAAAATGATCAATAATAGGTTAAAAGAATAGTTGTTGCTGTTAGGGTGACATAAACATTTTGTTTTGTAAAACAATGTGAATTGTTTAAGGGCGGAACCCCAGTTGTAACGTTAAAAAGAAGTTCCTTTTTAAGAATTTTTTCCTAATAAACCATAAAACTTTTTTAAAAATACTATTTATTACCTAAAAGTACATACATAAGGCTTTAATTTAAAATGAAAAAAAAAATTTTTTATCCAAAACTTTCTGATATATATGAGCCATTGAAGTATATATGGGGCATTCCACGCCAAGTCAGAAATCATTTTGCTTTTGCATTTCAAATTTTTTTAAAACATTATTTTTCTTTTAGTACTTTTCAAAAAGAGCTACACGGAAAGAAAAGGTCTGGAAGAGATATCCATAAAAATATTGTTGAGCAGAATATTGTTGTGTTATCCAATTCAATGGAAGAGACAACTTTCAGAATGGAAGCACATTCCATATTCAATGGATGAGGGAGCCATATTATATTGTTGAATCAAATATGGATGTGATATCCATAGGCATGGTTGGGCTTACAATTCATGCTATGGATTTTCACATATGGCTGTCTCATCCATATAAACTTTGGTTGGGAGATCCATAGTTAGTTCAAAATTTCGATACATGTTGCGCGCAATTCATTATCATGGCATCCATTTAAAAATGGTCGTCTCAATTTGTCCGTCGCGTCGGTTTCCTGTCACGTCTATATAATCACGTTGTGAGTTTATTGTGTATAAATAGTGTTATAATTGTTTATTATTTATTATCGTTATTGTCTATTAGTTTTTATGTAAATTCATTTTCATGAAATATGTGTAGAGTATAGGGTAAGTGTACCAATTGCCGAGGGTGTTCCATTTGTCGATGTTACCATGGTAATAACCAAAAAATATTGTCTAAAATGTCTCATTTGTTTGTTTATATAATATTAATATATTTTTTTTACATTTATAACGCATAAAAAAATTAATATTTATTACTTTCTTTCATTTACAATGTGCTACACTGTTTAAATAAAATTCAAAGTTTGTTTACTCGACAACAGGAACCATCCTCGACAATTGGTACGTTTACCCTATAAGGAATATTATATGCTCAAATATTGTAGTTGCGTGTATAGTGTAGTGGATAGCGTTAGTGTTTAGTATGCGTTAGGTCTAGGGTTCGTGTCTCCCCCCATCGGTTAATAATTTATTTCGTTAATATGCGGTTATTCAATAAGTGGTGTGTATTAATTAACAAAAATGTGTATAAAATATCTCAAGTGACATAGAATTTAATTAATTGAGTGATTCTAATTTTTTTGTTTCCCATTTCCATTACTATGGATCACCCAACCATAGATCTTTTGCTGCTCCAACAATATACAGCCAGCCATAGAATATGGATGCAGCAACCCTAACTATGGATATCCCGTATTTTTCAATATAATATGGCTGTGATATCCATGTATCTGGATGTGTCAACTATTCCTTTTTCTCCGTGTACCTTGATTTTTTTTCAAATTTTTTCATAAAGCGGTTCAGGAGATACAGATTTTTGAAAAATGACGTTTTTTACGTAAATTTTTTTTCAATGCTTATAACTCGGTCAAAAATTGATCAAATTGGACGTTTTATATAATGAAAAGTTTTGTTTTTACACGCAGTTTTTAATAAAAATATTTTTAAAAAATCTTAATATAATTTACGAAAAGATTTGACCAAATCACAATTTTACACAGAAAGAAGGGTAAGTTTGTAGAGACTCAGTCTAAAAACATATTTGCTGTGTAAAATTTGTGTGATTTTGTCAAATGGCAAGTTAAGCATTTGGCCACCACTGCGTATATAAAAATTAAAAATTTCAAAATAAATAGATCCCATCGTTTGCCCACAATCGGACAAGGCTTAAA